ATAGGGACACACAGAGTAATCACTGCTATTCTTGTATGCTAGTCTTGCGTGCCTTATTTCATTTAATCCCGCCAAAACTCAAAGGTGTCTGTATCCATTGGCAGGACAAGGATGCAAACACAGCACTTAACCCTAAGTTCTTAATCGATACTTCAACTTGTCCTTGTGCTCATGGGAGCTACCACTGAAATTCAATGACCTGGGACTAAGTTTCCTATAAACAGAAGCCTGCCCAAGCCACCCAAGAAAAAAATCCCTAATAGAACAATAATAATTTAAACACCACACATCCAAACCCTCTTGGATCCAATCTCCTCTACAGTGAAGTTTCAATTCAACAAACATGCATTAAGGGATGGGCCGGCGCCGCAGCTCACTAGGCTAATCCTCCGCCTTGAGGCGCCGGCACACCGGGTTCTAGTCCCGGTCGGGGCGCCGGATTCTGTCCCGGTTGCCCCTCTTCCAGGCCACCTGGGAGTGCAGTGGAGGATGGCCCAAGTGCTTGGGCCCTGCACCCCATGGCAGACCAGGAGAAGCACTTGGCTCCTGCCATCGGATCAACGCGGTGCGCCGCGTGCCGGCCGCGGTGGGCATTGGAGGGTGAATCAGTGGCAAAGGAAGACCTTTCTCTCTGTCTCTCTCACTGTCCACTCTGCCTGTCAAAAAAAAGAAAGAAAAAAGATAAAAAAGGGATATGCATAAAACTCGAAATTAGGTGAAGTGCTGGGGAAATGGTGTGAATGAGCCCTTGAGAAGCCTGTGCTTTGTCAGAGAAGAGATTTAAACCAAGCGTTACAGTCCAGAATGGTATTGCATTAGAAGTATGTACACCCTCACAAGAAAATATGAGAAACATCTCAACTACATCATACTGGGCTACTCATAAAATACAAACAGTTGACAGACAGTGTATGTTAAAAGGCTAAGAGTATCCATTGTTGCTGGACGATATGGGAGGATGGTCTCTCCCCGAGTTATGTGTCTACAGAACAACTGAACGAGTGGCCACTGAAAACTGCGTAATCTTTGACCTAGAAATTCTGCTGGTTTCTATGAGTTGGGTAGACTAGTTTCACTAACCAAAAGGAAAGATTTGTTTTAATAGTTTAATTTTCAGAAAATGGTAACTTTGGTTTCACAGGATAAGTTTCAGACTCTTCAAAGGTATCAAAGCGAAATGCCTAGTAGGCAGCTGGACACTTAGAATAACTAGCATGTACTCCTGTATCTGTTAGTCTCACATATATTATTTCATTTAGTCCCTCCAAAACTCAAAGGCGTCTGTATCCATTGGTAGAAGGATGCAAACACAGCATTTAATCCAAAATTCTTGATTCTCATCTGACAGAAGGGTCAAGGGTGGAAACAGAAAGGTGCAAGTTCATCTTTCACTCATTTATTTGGCAGAAATTTAAGTGCCTAATATTGGATCTCATATAAGGATATTATAAGGATAAGGATTTCTTATCCTTAGAAAATCATAACAGAGACAGGCATGAAAACAAAAAATTGCAAAATGGTATTAGAGTGCTAACAGAATGAGTTGAGAGGAATAATATAACCCCCAAAGAAGGAGAGAATAGTTAATTCTGCATTGCAGGAAGAATAAGAAAGGAATATAATGCTTGACTGTGATTTGGAAGGATGAGTGGGGTGGGGGTGGGGATCCCTGAAGTGGACAGGGAAGGTGGGTAAGGAAGTCCATTCCAGAGGAAGGGAGTAGAATACAGAACAGCACCAAACCCCGGACGGCTCAGAGAGACACAGGCAGGCCCCACACTGACAGACAGACAGTACTCTTCAAGCACTCCCCACCCTCTGATCCCCCAGATGCTGCAAAACAGGACAAAGAAATCAAAGTGTTCTACTCTCCTGAACTGCATCTCCCAAACCTCCCCCTGCAAGCTGGGTGTTGGAAACGGATGGGCAGCTTCCATGCCCATCAGGGGAGCAGTGGTGTGGGGCGCCCCACTGAGAAGAGCTCCCCGGCAGGGCAGCGTCTCTGTGGACCACCCTCCACAGCCTCTGGCTTTCTTCCTGGCATTTATTACCCCTGAAGTCACACCGGCTCTTCAGGCTTCTCCTTGTTCACTGCCTGCTTCCCCCACTAGAACATGAGCTCCAGAAGGGCACGGGCCTTGTCTGTGTCATTGCCTCTCAATCTTGAACAGAACCTGGCACGGGAAGGCATCCACAAATCTTTGCTGAATGAATGAATGCTGTCTTACCCAGCATACAACGTTATGACTATTTCAAAGAGTATAACTCGGGCAGGCATGGCGGCTCAGCGGGTGAAGCACCATTTGGAACACCCACATCCCATGTCAGGGTGCCTGACTTGAGTCCCGGCTCCTCCACACTTCCCATCCAGCTTCCTGCTAGTGCACCTGGGAGGCAGGGGCTGATGGCCCAGGTACTTGGGTTCCTGCCACCCACATGAAGAACTGGATGCAGTTCCTGGCTCCTGGCTTTGGAGTGACCCCAAATGGATGATCTGTCATCCTTTCAAGTAAATAAATAAATGGTCTTTTGTTTGTTTGTTTTGACAGGCAGAGTTAGACAGTGAGAGAGAGAGACAGACAGAAAGAAAGGTCTTCCTTCCGTTGGTTCACCCCCCCAAATGGCCGCTACGGCCGGCGCTGTGCTGATCCGAAGCCAGGAGCTGGGTGCCTCCTCCAGGTCTTCCATATGGGTGCAGGGCCCAAACACGTGGGCCATCCTCCACTGCCTTCCCAGGCCATAGCAGAGAGCTGGACTGGAAGAGGAGCAACCAGGACAGAACCGGTACCCCAACTGGGACTAGAACCCGGGGTGCCGGTGCTGCAGGCAGAGGATTAGCCTAGTGAGCCATGGCGCCGGCCAATAAATAAATGTTTTAAAAAAATTAAAACTCAGGGCCGGCACTGTGGCATAGTGGATAAAGCCACGACCTGCAGTGCCAGCATCCCATGTGGGTGCCGGTTCAAGTCCCAGCTGTTCCACTTCCAATCCAGCTCTCTGCTGTGGCCTGGGAAAGCAGTGGAAGATGGCCCAAGTCCCTGGGCCCCTGCACCTGCATGGGAGACCCAGAAGAAGCTCCTGGCTTCGGATCAGTGCAGCTCCAGCCGTTGGGGTCAACTGGGGAGTGAAGTAGCAGATAGAAGACCTCTCTCTCTCTGCCTCTCCTTCTCCCTCTGTGTAACTGACTTTCAAATAAATAAATAAATCTTAAAAAAAAAGAACTACTACCACAAGCTTAGCTATGCCATTACTGTCTTGAGTAAAATTTCTGACACAAATGGATGTGGACTCAAGAAGCAATTTCACGAGTTCAAATGCTGTGGAAAACATTTACTCTTACTGCACATCTTATTTCAAGACTTACAAAGATTCAGATACAAACTGTTCTGCCTTGCCAAATCCATTTCTCAATGTAAATGGCATGCATAATTACACAATGGATCCACTCTAACCCTTTTTATATGGCAATTACAAGAAGGCAGCTTTAAGTCCCTCCAGGGATAAATTTATTTTTCTCAGCCAAGAGTTAACACCAATAAATGGAGGATTTACATATAATCCCTAAAAGCAGATAGGCAAAAATTACCAACTATGCTAGGACTTTTTAGCTAAGCATTTCATTTATTCCTACTAGTATAATAGGGCAATTTAGAGGATGTAATTTCTTTAAAAGAAATGAAAAAAATGCACAATACTGTCCCTAATATTTTAAGTAAAAGTGTGGGTTTGTCCCTTTGTCTTCAGAGCAGTTGGTAGGAGTGACTAAATAAACACCAGTCCTGCCACTTCTCAAAAATCCAACAACTGAGAACTTTTTCCAAAGTCAACTTGTAAACTGTGCCTTTTCTAAATACGTAAAAATACGTACAAATAACACTAAGAAAAAAACCTGAGATGTATTCGTAGGCTAATAACATTGAGAGGAAAGGGCTTCACAGCCAAATTCTCTCTGCAGGAGCCGCTCGCGCGAGCCCCAGGCACCTGGGTCCAGATTCTCTCCAGGACTCCATCAGCCTCTGGCTAGTGAGATCTAACTTTCTGATAAGTACCTTCTAAAAATATAAATCATGACTTAATCGAAGACAAAATGTATAGTACCGCAAGTCACAATAACCAGTTCAGGATTTGTGTTGGCGTGCATCACTGTCATAAATTAAAAAGCTACATTCCTTCAGAAAAATGGCTCCCTTGGCCCGTTAGGGTATAAGATTAAAAGCAACATTTCCTCACACACAAACAAAATCAAGGTGGGAATACATACAAGGCTTCAGCTGGCCACAGGAAAAATGCAAGGGTCCTGGGGTCAGTAAGGAAATGCATTTGGTGTAACAGTGGATGCTTAGGCTAAAGTAATTAAGTGACATTAAAAAGACCACTTAAGTAAAATTTTAAAAGAAAAAAAAAACTTATACAAAGAATTAAACTTGCAAACACTCTCCACTTTTCACCAGTAATATTCTAGTCTGCCAAATACTAGGCCAAATGGCTGATGTCACATAACTGCCACTAACAGGTTCATGTGCCAACCTCCCTGACCAATCAGGAGAAACCCATTTACAGATCAGGCTGTGCTTTTAGGCCCAGCCCAGTGCTCCTGCCTGTAAATGAAGCCCCTTGTCATTGCTCATCACACAACTCACGAGAAGCAGGATAAGAAAGCCACCCCGAAGCCCGCCGCCCTAACACAAACAGCCACTATGAACATTCTGATGTGCTAGACAGTGACTTGCTAAAGCTTAAGGCAGTCTCTTTCACTCCCTCTCTTCATTCTGCTTCCTCCTCAATATTTCAGGATAGACTTTCCCAGATCATCAGTACAGCCCTCATCATGAAAACACCTTTGTGAAGAAGCTGAGCACAGCGGGGCCCTGGAAGGGAGTCCCTGTGGTGCCCATTAGAAGGACAACACTCCTGCCTGCCACACCTGCCGCTGGCCCGGCGTCCCCGCGTGAGCTCACATGCCTTCGAGCGCTCCACGCCACCGGCCGAGCGTCACTTACTGTGCCGGGCATGTGACTTCGCTCGTTCTTCCCATTCTGGGAGCTGCCATTTTTGAGTTTCTTTTTCTTTTTGGCTGTTTCTTTGTGCTCCTTCTGTTTGTTTTGCACTTCAATCAGAACAGAAATAAAGCTGTTTTTCACTTCCTTTTCAAACTCCAGTTCATCTCGCAGGGCCAACTGCTGCACCAGCTCCTCGGAGTACTCCTTGATGGCAGTCTCGATTTCTTCCAGTAGTTCATTTAATTCAGACACGGAGAGTCTTTTCACTCCTGTGACCAAAAGCAGAGGACAGCCGCTGCTGAGACAGAAGTGACTCTAGATGGCTCAGCAAGGGGTCTTACAGCGAACAGCATACACCACAGTCCATGCGCGTACACCACAGTCTATACGATTAAACCCACTTCTCCTAGAACTACCAGGGGGCAGTGCCGAGCAGAGGTGGCTGGGCACTCACTTCCCAGGCGGCTGAGATGGAAAGTCCACCAAGATGTCTGAGGCAGACCCATCAGCCCACGAACAGCACTCTGGTCAAGAATGGAGAAGCCGTACAAGGGGAGAGACGAACGCAAAATGTTTGTCTACCAGGCAGGGTAACTTCAGACAAGAAATGGCAAGGGAGTTGGGGTGCTTCTGAGAAAAGGGCTTGATGGGAAAAAATTAATCTAAATGCATATTTAATCACATACGCCCCAACCTGGGAATCCTGCTGGAGGCTGGGAGGGAACAATAGTCCCTAAAGCTGTGTTTTCGGTTTTTTCGGCACGTGCTCTCACGTGACAGGCCACTGCGCGCGTCCTGACCCCAGTGCCTCACAATGTGACTCTGCTGGGGTGCAGAGGCTGTCAGGAGCCGATTAAGTTAAAGTGAGATCCTGAGGATGGGCCCTAATGCAGCGTGCCTGGTGTCCTTATAAAGAACAGAGACACACACGGGGCAGACGCCGGGAATGGGAGCCAGCGAGGGCAGCCAGGCACGGACAGACCTAGGAGAGAGGCCTCAGAGGAGGTCCCCCCTGGCCACATGTGGATCTCAGCGTCCCAGCCTCCCGAGCGCAGAGGTTCCGCCTCAGTCTGCAGTCCTCTGTCACAGCGGCCCTGACCCACGAACACGGAGGCTCCGTCCCCGCGCGACAACACAAACCACGCACGGAATTATCACCGCCTGGCCAGCGAGAAACCAGGCTTTCTGCACGAGGCCGTGTCACGTGCTTGGAACAGACAAAACGCAGCAAGGGTGCTGCTGATGGAAGGGGGGTCTCTTACTTTCTTCGTAACTGCTTGTACTCGACCTCTTAAGAGTTTGGATTTCCTGGGAAAGCATTGACAGCCGATCTGACTGCGAGGGGGTTTCATCATCTTCTGGGTCTGGCGATTCCTGCATCATTTCTTCAATTTCTTCAATAACCTTCAAACACACACACACAACACTATTAACCAAATGTACAAGAAAAAAATCATCTCTGTAACACAGCACTCCCCTGAGACAACCAGAGAAGGAATACACTAAATTCACCGTTAACTGATGACAGCACTCAGGACCGGGTGCTTTGAATAAGTGGAATGTTGGGCCGGTGCTGTGGCATAATGGATAAGGCCACCACCCGCAATGCCAGCATCCCATATGGCCACCAGTTCAAGTTCTGGCTGCTCTGCTTCTTATCCTGCTCCCTGCTAACGGCCTGTGAAAAGCAGCAGAGGATGACCCAAGTCCTTGGGCCCCTGTACCCATGCGGGAGACCTGGAAGAAGCTCCTGGTTTCTGGCTTCAACCTGGCCCACCCCCAGAGGTTGCAGCCATCTGGGGAGTGAACCAGTGCATGGAAAATCTGACTATCCTCTTCTGTGAAACTCTTTCAAATAAATAAATCTTTTAAAAATCGTAATCTTGGTTTTAAAAACAAGGTTTATCAAAAAATTACAATGTCAAAACACAAAATTAAATAGAGTATGATTCAGTAGGCCCCATTCAGAACCTGCAATGTCTGAGAAATGCTTCTACAAAAACGCATGATGTACTTCCAACATACATATGCAAAACCAGGTCATAAAACCGGAGTTAAAGGAAAGCAAATAGCACATGCAAGTGCTCAACCTGAAGCGATTCAATCAAAAATATGACATAAAATTTAGAACACACAATAGTATAAAAAAATTTATATAGAGGCAACAAATTACCTCTCTGGCAGCAAATTTACCTTTAACAGCAGAAAAAGAGTTTTGTATATTGATTTAATGAAAGATAAAGAGATGTTTTTAAATTAAAGTACCTTCAATAGTAAAAAAGCTACACAAAGCGGGAAAATTTCAGGAACACATTGCTTTTCACATGACTGCAATGTGGTTCAAATCTTACAAAATAGTATTTGGTGCTTTCCAAATTCTAAAGGTTGAGAAGGACATGGAACTCAGTAAAACTTTAAAGGACAGCCAGAAAAATTATTCAATACATACGGGGGGAAACTTAACAGTTAAAATTTAACTATCAAAGACTGCTAAATGAAGGAGTAAAATATCACAGCAAATTTAACACACTTTATGAAGGAGGTGGGTTATGTTAATTAGTAGAAAATGTTCCAAAATAGGCATTGCAAAGCGGTACAATGGCACACTCAAGGTGGCTACCAAATCAGTTTCTCCAAGTCCTGAAAATAGGCATGGAGGGGCCGGTGCTGTGGCAGAGCAGGTAAAGCCGCTGCCTGCAGTGCCAGCATCCCAGATGGGCACAGATTTGAGTCCCAGTTGCTCCACTTCTGATCCAGTTCCCTGATAATGCACCTGGGAAAGCAGTGGAGGATGTCCCAAGCCCCTGCTCCCACGTGGGAGACGGGAAGAAGCTCCTGGATCCTGGCTTTGGATCCCAGCTCAGGCCGTGGCAGCCAACTGGTGAGTGAAACAGCAGATGAAGATCTCTGTCTCCCTCCCTCTCTCTAATTCTGCCTTTCAAATAAATAAATCTTGGGGCCGGCGCCATGGCTCACTTGGTTAATCCTCCACCTGCAGCACCAGCATCCCATGTGGGTGCCGGGTTCTAGTCCCAGTTGCTCTTCTTCCAGTCCAGCTCTCTGCTATGGCCTGGGAAGGCAGTGGAGGATGGCCCAAGTGCTTGGGCCCTGCACCCACATGGGAGACCAGGAGGAAGCACCTAGCTCCAGGCTTTGAATCGGCGCAGCGCCAGCCGTAGTGGCCATTTTGGGGGGTGAACCAATAGAAGGAAGACCTTTCTTTCTGTCTCTCCCTCTCACTGTCTGTAACTCTACCTATCAAATAATAAAATCTTTAAAAATAAATAAATAAATAAATCTTTTAAAAAAGTAGGGATGGCCTGTGATATTCAGCCAGATTTCTAGGGGACAATGAATTCTCCAAGTCTTTCCCTGAATATCACGTTCCGCCTCCATCCTATTATTCCCTTGCTTTAAGCACAACACTCTTTCCAGGCCCGGAACCATCCATCTACAAATATGGCTAAGGATCATCAAAAAGACACATTTTGAATGCACTCCTCCCAGCCTGGCTATAACACATCTCCTTACTGACCTCGTCTTTCCAGACTAAAAATAGAGTGTGGTGGAATTCGCAGCCCAAGTGGCCACGGAACATTTCACTTCAGGAAGACGTTCTTGCACCACGCTTGGACAATACAACACAGGTGGGAGGAGTATTCAGAAAACGCAAAAGCTGATTTGACTGGTTTCAAACGAACATGGGGGTTGACATGAGTAGGGCATTCCACAGGAATAAGGCTTGCTTCTCTCTGGAGTACTTAACATGTACTTCTAAAACGTGCTAATGATTTTCACACAGGGTATTCCAGAAACTAAACTAAATAATTCTACACGGATACATTAGTCTGCCCATGTGTGGATAAATTCGAAGAAAGAAATGCACTATATTTTTCTGATGTGGGTTTCAGCAATAATCCTCCCTTAGTAACGCGCTGTATGTCTCAACAATGCCCACATGGAAATCTTCCCGACTAGCACAATCCCACACGCTGCATGCTACACAGGCTCTTTTTTTGCTCAATGGGAGGGTTACCTGTTAGGTTTATACAACCAGAAAATACAGGAAAAATAAGGAAATTCCAACAGCCACCATCAAGCCCTGCCACGGCAGGAACTGACTTCGGCTCTGGATCTGCTTGCCCTGCCCCCGTGAGTAGCACCTCTACCTGATCGGCAGTGAAGAGGGGCTCCTCGTTCACGCAGGAGACGATGATGGAGTGCATGTCCAGCTGTTCTCTCAGCTCCTCATCATCCGACGAATCCAAGAACAGACTGTCACTGACCTGAAAACAAAACACCGCTCTGAACGCAGGACCTTCTGATCCCAAGAAAGCCACCCCCTCTGGGTGAGAGTCTCCGGGGGCCAGCGCTTCTCCCAGAGCTCGCCCTCTAAGAAAGGACTTGCAGTCGCCACTCCGCACCAGACAGAGTGCAGTGCTCTACTGGCTGAGCCCAAACAGAACTAAGGCAAACACAGAATAACTACGACACTGCGAAGGCTGAATACAGCTCCTATTGCTCCTATTGCTATTTCAGCAAAAAGAGTGCTATAGAGGCTGATGGATATACAGAGAAAACAGAGTATGTGTTAGGAAGTTATAGGGAATTACAGTGAGTAGGAGAAAAGGGGTAAGTTTAGCAATATATATTATTTAGTTAACAATCTAATAGTAAGACTGGTTATGTTAAAAGTGTACAGGGACAAGCATTTGGCCTAATGGTTAAACCACTGGTTGGGACACCCACACACCACAGCAAAGTTGCCTGTTTTCAAGTCCCAGCTCCCATCCAGATTCCAGTTTCCTACTAATGCATATTCTGGGATATGCAGGTGATCATTCAAGGACTTGGTCCTTGCCACCCATATGGTAGCTCTGTATGGCTTCAGCCTGGCCCAGTCCCACCTGTTGTGGTCATTTGGGAAGTGAAACAGAAGATGGAAGATCTGCCTCTCCCCCTGTCACTCTGCCTTTCCAATAAACAATAAATGTTTTTAAAAATAGCACAAGGATACATTTAAAAAAAAAAATCCATGTCCTTGAAGAAAAGCACTTGGAAGGAGGGAGAAGATGGCAAAGGAGACGTTCCGAAGCCAACCTGAACGAGAAGCATTCCATTATATAAGTGTATCAGGAACTGCACAAGATTTAGAATAGGTTTATGGTCATTGCCAAACACATGAGCATGTCTCTCCCTCTCTCTGGCCGTAACTGTGCCTCTCAAATCAATAAATAAATCTTTTTAAAAAACACACATGAGCAATATCACAAAACCATTAGAATACATTTCCATAACAGAAGAAAATGATCCCAGATCCTCTTTCCAGAGAGGGTGCCAAGCCCATTCCAACAGAGATGGCATATGCTAAGGGCTGGAATCCCTTTCAGGCTTTGAAAACCAACCTTGGTTGTCACGGGGGTCATTGTTCACCCTCCCATTCAGCAGACATGTGCCTTCTTTTTGCCAACTGTTTCCATCGCTCCGCGTGCCAGGATTAGTTCGGAGCTGGTGGAACTCTTTCCCTGTGTAAACCTGAAGACACCTCAAATGGAAAACTGTGCCCAGGTAAGAATTTGGGACATACAGTGTCTCACTCGGAAGAAAATTAAATTTAGAAGTGTGCCATCTTCATTTCAATGAAAAAAAAATTAAAACTGTAATCTAGCAAACTGCAGCTTTCCTGAATGTTTCTCTCATCTTAACACAAAAGAAAATTGCTTCTCACCTTGTCAAAAAAAAAAAAAAAAAAGTTTACCATAGCTTCGGTTTTATAACTGGAATAATCTAAAGAACGTCTCTAAGAGGTAAATTTTGCGTAGCTCAGTCATGGAAATAGAGCACCCAGTTGGCCAGGGTATATAAAATAACTTTCCCAGATTTGAAAATCCTTTTAATTATAGACTATGAATTAGGAAATGGCGGGGTTTTACAGTCCTTGCTGCTCATTTGTCCTTCCAGAACCTAGTGTGTGCTAAAGGTCTTCCTGAGGGATACAGTTCTAATGCAGTGCTGTTCGTACTGGAACAATCACGTCATGAGCAAAGACAGAGCCACAGACAGCAGATGGACGATCACCGTACACTTTAATCTGCTGAGTTTCTCCAGCTAAGCCTTTTATAATCAGTACTAGTATTAAACTCAAAATCACTCCGTGTCGCTACCTTGACAACACCATTACTCGGGCACTGGAAACATGCAAAAGGCAACAATAAGGGATAATTCCTCAAGATGCAACCGAAGAATAGCACAAGATATATATTATTTTACTCAATGAAATTGAGTATTCCATTCATGCTGCTAATGTGTTTCTCTTTGAAACTATAAAAGAAACTTTTACAATATTTATACAATATGTCACACAAACAAGTACTCATTGGGGCCAGCACTGTGGCGTAGCTGGTAAGGCCGCCACCTGCAGTGCCAGCATCCCATGTGGGCACCAGTTCAAGTCCTGGCCTGGCTGCTCCACTTCCAATTCAGCTCTTTGCTGTGGCCTGGGAGGGCAGTAAAGGATGGCCCAAGTCTTTAGGCCCCTGCACCTGCATGGGAGACCCAGAAGAAGCTCCTGGCTTCAGATCAGCACAGCTCTGGCCATTGCAGCCAACTGGGGAGTGAACCATCAGATGGTCGACCTCTCTCTCTGCCTCTGCCTCTGCCTCTCCTCTCTCTGTGTAACTCTGACTTTCAAATAAATAAATAAATCTTAAAAAAAAAAAAAAAGTACTCAAGGACTAGCCACAGAGGATTCAGCACTATTTTAAATATTGTAGAAAATATTTTTAAGAGTAAAAAACTTGAGGCTAGCACTGAGCCACAGTGGGTTAAGCAGCTGCTTGCACCACCAGCAACCCATATCAGAATGCCAATTTGAATCCCAGATGCTCCAATTCCAATCCAGCTTCCTGCAAATGCACCTGGGAAGGCAATGGATGAAGATTCAAGTGCATGGGACCCTGTCACTCACATGTGAGACCCAGATGGAGTTCTAGGCTCTGACTTAGGCCTGGCCCAGCCCTGGCTGTTATTACCATCTGGGAAGTGAAATTAAGGATGAAAGATTGGGCTGGTGCCACGGCTTGCTTGGTTAATCCTCCGCCTGTGGCGCCAGCATCCTATGGGGGCGCCAGGTTCTAGTTCCTGTTTCTCCTCTTCCAGTCCAGCTCTCTGCTGTGGCCCAGGAAGGCAGTGGAGGGTGGCCCAGGTGCTTGGGCCCTGCACCCACACAGGAGACCAGGAGGAAGCACCTGGCTCCTGGCTTGGGATCAGTGCAGCGCCGGCCGTAGCAGCCATTTGGGGAGTAAGCCAGCAGAAGGAAGAGCTTTCTCTCTGTCTGTCTCTCTCATTGTCTAACTCTGCCTGGCAAATAAAGAAAAAAAAAAAAAAAAAAAAGATGAAAGATCTCTGTGTCTGTCACTCTGTCTCTCAAGTAAACAAATAAATCTAAAAAACAAACTTTTTCCAAAATCATTTGAAAGTTATAATAGGGGGCTGGTGCTGTGGTGTAGCGGGTAAATCTGCCGCCTGTAGTGCTGGCATCCCATATGGGCACCAGTTTGAGTCCCGGCTGCTCCACTTCCTGTCCAGCTCTCTGCTATGGCTTGGGAAAGCAGCAAAAGATGGCCCAAGTCCTTGGGCCCCTGCACCCACATGGGAGACCCGGAAGAAGCGCCTAGCTCCTGGCTTCGGATTGGTGCGGCTCTGGCTGTTACAACCAATTAGGGAGTGAACCAGAGGATGGAAAACCTCTCTCTCTGTCTCTCCTTCTCTGTGTAACTCTTTCAAATAAATAAATAAATCTTTAAAAAAAAAAATAAGAAAGAATAACAGAGACACAGAGAAAGAGAAAGAGATTCTCCATCTGCTAATTCACCCCCTAAATGGCCATAATGGCCAGGCTGAAGCCAGGAGCTTCATCCAGGTTTCCCACGTGGTTGCAGGGGTCCAAGGATTTGAGCTATCCTCCACTGCTTTCCCAGGCACATTAGCAGGGAGCAGGATTAGAAGTGGAGCAGCCAGGACTCGAACTGAGTCCATATGCAATGCCCGTACACAATGCCAGTGCTGCAGGCAGTGGCTTAACCCACTGTGCCACAGCACTGGCTCCTAAAAAACTTTAAAAAAATTTTTAATTAAAAATTTAACAGACATTAAAATTGGAATACCATGTGGTATTTCAATATATGTATACATTGTGTAATGTACAATCAGGGCAAACTTATTGTTTCCTTAGACATTTAACTTTCCTTTATAGCATAAATATCCAAACGTTTTCAAAGTAACACAGTAATAAGAAAAGACATATACTAATAAGGCACATGCAAAAATACCTGCTGGAGAGTCTCACTCTGACATCAGACCCAGAAACGTATGAAACAATAAGATAAGGTAGCAGTGATTTTTACAGAGGCATAGACAAAGCACGGTGGGAACTGGCATCCAAGAGACCACCCAGCTGAACTCTGTGGGACAGGTACCAAGTCCTTTGAAAGTTCACATTCCCACAACGGTCTTCAGCTCCCACAGAGACGAGCGCGTGCATCTTCCTTCCGTGCAGGCATTTCGGCTATGGCTAAACGACCATCTGTCAGAGACGCTGAAGGCAGGGAATTCCCCCCAAGTGGAAGGCTGGATTAAGCGGACTTTAAAGTCCCTTCCAACTCTAAAATTGTAAATTCCACGAGATCAGCAAAGGCTAAAACAGGAATAGGAAGCTTCAGAGAGGAAGGGAAATTTAAACCAAGCTCAAAATGATGGCTAGAACCTAAATAAACAGAAGACCAGGCATATGCTGTGTTCCTTCTCACTCAGTGTGTGACAGGTAACTCTGCAACACTTAACAGGATTAATGATTAGAATGAACAGTAAGAATTCTGTATCTGCTAGAATAATGGGAAACAGTTCATGTTCTATACTTTACCAGAAAATATTAGTAGCAGGCTTTTCTAAATCACATATTTAAGAAAATCATGTTCACAAAACATTAACGACACTGTATTTAAAATACTGACAGCCCTAATGCATCATAGCCCAGTAATCACATAATTACCCTCAATGAAATATAGAGCATGCCGGAAGATCTGGCATGAGTTTACGCTGTTATTTGATAAGGAATTTAAATAGTCTGGCCTTGAAACTTACGTAATTTGGGCATGTTTCTCATTAGCTTTAACCGAACTGAGCCCTGCGATTTCCCACTTCCGCGAATTCTCTTCACTGTTCTGGCCCAGTGGCTGCCCTGTTGTTGTGCTCACACTTCCTACTCCAGGTATGTTCACGTGACGATACCAGGGGGTACACAGGAGAGTCACGCAGGCTAAGTTAGCCATGAACACACTAAAAAGCCGAAAACTGAACTGTTTTTAACAGGTTCCCCAGTATTCACAGGAAAACAGTCTTCCAACATGTCATGTCCATCAAGTCACTGAACACATCAAAAAGTTAACTCCATACTGATATTCCAATATCCTCAATGTATTAACTCAGAGCCTAGGATTTTTCTTGCATATTCTCAGCATGTCAAAATGGTATTATGTGAGTGGAGAAAACATGGTGATTGTGGAGGTTCATACACAGATGATGAAAATGTAGCTAAATATACAAAATCGAGTATGTGCATGGAAGTACTGGAGGAACATGACAGCAAGGTGACAGCACTGAGCTGAGAGAGCCACTTCAACTGTTATAAGCTCGGCAGCAAGAGGCAACTCAGTGGATTCAGGTTAAACAGAATGCTTCCATATTACTTCCAGTATTAGCATAAATTATTCCCAAATTCCTGATTTCATTCTTTTTTATTTATTTTTTAAGTAATACAAATTTCATAAGCTCAACTTTAGGAATATAGTTATTCTTCCCACTATACCTGTCTTCCCACCCACACTCCCACTCCTCACCTCCTCCTCCCTCTTTCCTTGCCAGTCCCATTCTCCATAAAGATTCATTTTCAATTAACTTTGTACACAAAACACCAACTGTATACTAAGCAAAGATTACAACAATTTGCACACACACACACACACAGTTTGAAAACTAGTTTTACAGTTAACTCTCATAATACAACTCATTGAGGACAGAGGTCCTACATGGGGAGTTAGTGTACAGTGACTCCTGTTGTAAATTTAACAACTAACACTCTTATATATGACGTCAGTGACCACCTGAGGCTCTTACATGAGCTGCCTAGGCTATGGAAGCCTTTTAAGTCCACAAACTCCATCAGTATTTGGACAAGGCCATAAGCAAAGAGGAAGCTCGCCCTTCTCTTTAGAGAAAAGCACATCCTTCTTTGATGGTCATTTCTTTCCGCTGGGGTCTCACCCACAGAGATCCTTTATGTAGAACATTTTCTGCCACAGTGTCTTGGCTTTCCATGCCTGAAGTGCTCTCATGGCTTTTCAGCCAGACCAAGAAGCCTTAAGGACTGATTCTGGGGTCAGAATGTTACTTAAAGCGATTGTCATTCTACAAGTCTGCTGTGTCCATTCCTTACTTACCCCTTTCTCAGAGAGGTTCAGAGTAAGCAAATGCAAGGTTCTAGTATGGGACGATTTCCAGTCTACTGGCATTACATTTCCATAATTATCTGTCAGAGCATTCCAAATCCTTAAAAAGAAGGAAACCACAGTCAATGAGAATTAACATTCCATATGCCTTTTATTAAGCAAATGTTCAGTGCCACAGTGAAAAGCCACCAAGCAACAAAAAACAAAAAACAGAAGGCTGTCTCTCAAATAAGTGAAAAAGTATGATTGGGCCAAAAAGAAGTTCTGAGGGAAAGTGAGCAGATGTAGAAAATTCCACTAGCTAACACTTCACGGCACTACCTATGTGGCACTGTTCTAAGCAAGCCACAGATACTCATTTAACCTGCAAGGCCAATATTAGCAGTGGGAAGTATTATTATCCCATTTTACAGATGAGGAGACTGAAGCACAGGCAGGTTAAGGAGTATTTCCAGAGCCACACAGGTAGTAACACACTGTGCATTGCATTGAGTTTTCCTCTGAAACTCCTAAACACATAGAACATGTCATGAAGTAAATCATTTCTCAACTTTGTTATCTTTTCTAGAGAAAGAACTCAGCCTCAGTGTGAGACCAAGACTGAATATGAATATCCAATTTGTAACATAAATGGGCTGAAGATTACAATGGATGAAATGAAAGGCAAGAGAAGAAGTTCACAATAAAACATACAAAGTTATAACCAGTGCAGTTTGCCACCTGGGTATCAAGCAGAATTTAGGGGAGGAAACATGGCAAAATGAAACAGGACACTTGACTAAGAGTCAGGAAACAGGAAACAAACATATCTCCATTCTCCCTTAACTGATGGGTCTTTGGCCAAGTCCCTTAGCCTGTCTAGGCAGGTGCCCTTCTATAAAGGAGAGGCTTGGACAAGCAGCAGGCATCCCTTCCAGCTCCATCACCTTAGGCATTCATTCAAATGCACTGAATAAAGTCCCAGACCGCTCCAGATAAGGAGAGCAAAGTCCAATTGCATGACCAAAATTCAGGTTTTGATACCAAGGTAATAATCAGCATAATAAAATATGACATTTTATGAAAAACCAATTCAGAGATCAAAACGAAGTGAAATTTCATTGGGGTAAATAACTTATTGGCTAGAGGTACATGCAAAGAAGTCAGAAAGGAAAGAAAAGCTTCTAAAATTTACAACAGGTATCTAATCAGGAATAAGCCATTAAATGATCGGGTAGGCTCTTTTTCCCAACAAGGAAGCCACTAGAATACAAAAACAAACCTAACAGAAGCATGAACATGAGAATGCGAGTTTTAGAACAGAGAAGCAACAGACTTGAGTTAATGACTGGGGAGCTGGTGTTGAAGAGAAGAAGCCACAGGACCTGGGCGGTCAAGAGGGTAACATCCCAAATGACATTCGCCTCCTGCAACGTGAACCCCAAAAGCTCTAGAAAACTGCAGATGGCCTACATGCATGGTTCATTCCTATTCTCCTCTCCTGTGGAACGTTATCTCCTCCAATGCCAATTAGCAGGAATTAGAGGCGATGCCTGCGGACTGCTTAACTTGCTGGGCTTCTGGCCCATCCGTTCCTGCTTCAGCGTTTCAAGTACTAAGTAACTGAGCCTATGCTGAACCCTGGTCAGGGCCTGGAGTGGGACATTCTAAGAGGTGAGGGCAGTCTGGGGCTTTATTTTGCCTGCCTGTTTACACTTCCACAATGAGGCTACAATAAATAGTAATTTAAAAACACACAAGAGAAATATCATACTTCATCCAGAAAAAGGAACCACGGGTTTGATCTTCCAAGAAAACAAAGGCCAACCAGCTGACCTATCTCTTGACCAAGGTCAGAACAACTGCAGTTGGAAAGGCATAGGCCACTGGAAGGACGCAGGACCAACTTTAGTGGGAGATTTCTAGAATTCTCCAGCCAAGACCTAGGACCTGACTCTACCATAAAGTATTACAACCAGTCATAAATGACTGGCAGCACACTGCTTTCCCAGGGAAATCAAAGTCCTGCCGACTGCGAGTGCTGCAGCACCTGCTAAAATCCAGCCCCAGCAGACTAAGCGTAATCCACACTAAACTGGGGCTCAGAGACAGTGAATGAGTGGCCCTAAGGCAAGGCAGGATCTGGGGAGAAGAATCCTCAACTCTAGTGGAAGGAGCTGGCAGGGATTCCGTCAAGCAATGATGAGCAAGTGTGCGCGACAGGCAGGCCACAATGACAGGGCTGCCCAGTCCTGGCTCCTCAAAGGTGAGACAGAGATTTCTTACGCATTCCCAAACCCAGGGACTTGCATTACCACCAGCAACCTATCATCTCCTAAAAACCAAAAGTATTTTAACTTTACGTCAACCTAAGATTTAAGCAAAGGCTAAAATAAACTACCTTCCAGACAGTCCAGGTGAAGCACAACACGAGGGCTCTTAACTATCTATGTGCAAACCACCCAACTGGTTTAAGTTACTCTTGACAAACCCACACACATAATAAGAGAACTGTAACATCCAGAATGCACCCCATGTCTTAGTGACTCAGAGTACTAAATGTATACAAACTGTCTTCTCTGTGGGTGTAGACTTTCAAAAACCCCATCCTTTGCTACTGACTACCTGTGTCATAAACTTGCCCACTTCTGCACCTGCGCAGAACACTGTACAGAGGAACCAGGAAAGGGAGGGTCTCCACCTACAGCTGAGCCCACCCCAGGCTGTTCCCAGCCCCCTTTTTATGCCGCCTGCTTTATTCCTGATGAGTCTGCTGATTCACAGAGCAAAGGGGACCATCATGCTGGAAGCCGCTTTCCCCGCCCAGGGTACCTTCCTTAACTTCCAATCTCTGCGTCCCATCAGCGCTTGGAAAACCCACCGCAACACAGGTCCCACTAACTTATGAGATCCTTGCCAGGTAACCCGAGCCCACCTTCGCGTTTGCCTCGGGGGGCCCGGCAAGCACTCTCTGCTGGGCCCAGCAGACCCGCGCGGTCTCAGCACGTGCCCTGACCTCTCTGCACCTGCCAGGCAAACTCCCTGCCTTTCTCATCCACCAGAATGGAGTAGGCACAACTGTCTGCTTCTCTATTGTGGTCCCCCCAACTCCCCTCACCCACACTCCCTTCAATCCCCTCTACCGGCCCCTATCTACACTGGCCTACAAATACGCGTTTACAAATTGCCTGCCTCCCCGCGTGGCGCCTCCTTCAACAACGCGCCCTGTCCAGTCATTCCGCGCTCCGGGTGCCAAGGGCGCCGATCACTCAGGCGGGCGCTCCACACGAGCGAGGAGCGAGCCGAATGAATGAGTGGCCGCACGCGCGCCCGGTAGGACGCCGAGGCCCCCAGCTCCAGGCAGGGGGTACCCCCCTAAATGTCTGCCCCAGGCGCAGGGGCAGCGCGCCGAGCCGGCAGAGCGCATCGCAGCCGCGGGGCGGGCCCAGGCCAGGGCCCCGCGCGGGGAGGGGCCCCAAGTCCATGGAGGCGGAAGGAGGGCGCGGGGAGGAGCCGCGGACCCGGGCCCGCGGGTTGGGCCAGGGCCGAAAGGGGCTCCCGCCCGCCCCGGCCGGCCCCGCACTCACTCGTCCCCCTGCAGGAGGCTGCGCTCCGTGATGGGCCGCACGGCCGCCCGCGGGGGCTCCGCGCCCGCACCGGGGGGCCGAAAACACAGGCTCAGCTTCTCCTGCAGGCTGCAGGCCAGCGCCGGGAAGCCGTCGCCGCCCGCGCCCGCCCCCGCCCCGCTGCCGCCGCTCGCGTTACAGTTCTCCTGGTCCAGGAGGCTCCGGGCCGGCTCCTGGAACTCATAGAAATCCTGCCAGTCCCCGTCGGCCGCCATCGCCGCCCGGTGCCGCCGCGCGCCCCGCCCGGGCCGGCCCGGCCTGGCCCGGCCCCGCCCCGCTCCCGGGACACCGGTCAGCCCCGGGCCCCGCCTCCGGAGCCCCGCCTCACTGCCAGGCCCCGCCCCGCCCCCGGAGCCCCGCCTCGCCTCCAGGCCCCGCCCAGGCCTCCCGGCCCGGCCCCGACCCGACCCCGAAGTTCCGCCCCGCCGCCAGGCCCCGCCCCGACCCCCAAGCCCCGCCTCGCTGCCGGGCCAGGCCCCGCCCCCGGCCTCCGCCTGGCTTGGCCGTCTGGAGTCTTTGCAAGAGTTGAGCGCCAGTTCCCACAACAAGGGAGACCTGTTAACTGCGTCGAGCTGCTTCCTATAGATTCCATGATTTAGGAAGAACTTTGCTCTTAGTTTCCCTTTCTAGACCCCTGGCCTCAATGAGGCTAAACTAAAGCACACCTTTCAACTGAACAGCCTCGTGTTCCTGCAGCCTTTGGTAACTTCCCGACCAGAAACAGCCAGAATCACTGCGGAATGTTTAAGTGGCTCTGCAATGCATGCCGCAGAGGGTTTGTCTCTCACGTGCAAAGCCGGTGCTAGACCCTGGGGAACAAAGGTGAATGTGTGAGTTGCTATTCACAAAGCACTTAATGCCTCACAGCAAACACAAGTGGCCTACAACACAGCTCAGTGATAAGACCAACAGGAGATCGTTTTTATCATATAAAAAGTAAGTTTGAATGGAAAATGAGAAGTTGTCATTTAACATATTTCAGTTTTGCAAGATGAAAAGAGCTGCGACTCAGAGGGTTAGCCTGATTTACAACTCCTAGCAGCCCACATCAGATCCCAGCTGCTCTGCATCTAATCCAGCTCCCTGCTAATGCACCCTGGAAGGCAGCAGGAGATGACCTAAGTGCTTGAGCCCCTGTTATCCACGCGGGAAACAGGATCGAGTTCAGGGCTCCTGGCTTTGGCTTGGACCAGCCCTGGTTTGCTGTGGTTATTTGGGGAGTAAACCAGCAGATGGAAGATTCTCGGTCTCCCTCCTTCCCTGCCCCTCACTCTGCCTGTCAAATAAATAAATCTTTTAAAAAGATGAATGGTGGGGCCAGTACTGTGGCGCAGCAGGTAAAGCCGCGGCCTGCAATGCTGGCATCCCATATGGGTGCCGGTTCGAGTCCCAGCTGCTCCACATCCTATCCAGCTCTCCACTTGGCCTGGGAAGGCAGTGGAAGATGGCCCAAGTCCTTGGGCCAATGCACCCACATGGGAGACCCGGAAGAAGCTCCTGGCTCCTGGCCTCAGATCAGCTCAGCTCCAGCCATGGCAGCCATTTGGGAAGTGAACCAGTGGATGGAAGACCTATATCTCTCTGTGTAACTGTGACTTTCAAGTAAAATAAATAAATCTTTAAAAAAAAGATGAATGATGCTGATGGTTGTACAAAAATGTGAATATACTTAACACCACTGAACTACACACTTGGCTAAGATGATGGTTTTGTATTACAGATAAGTACCTGGCTCCTGCCATCGGATCAGTGCAGTGCGCCAGCCACAGCGCGCCATTGGAGGGTGAACCAATGGCAAAGGAAGACCTTTCTCTCTCTCTCTCTCTCACTGTCCACTCTGCCTGTCAAAAAAAAGGGGGGGGGGGAACCTATTTTTGTAAGGATATGTGTAAAGGAAATACGTTCTCAGGAGTTGACAGGAGCAGTATTTTTGGCCTGGAATAATCCAATATTTTAGGAAATGAAACATAATTAGGTTATGAAAGATGAGCTTGTATTTTGAAAAATAAATTTGGGGTCAGTAATAGTGAATTACTTTACAAAGGAAACAGGTGTTAGGCTCCACCTGGCCAAGGACAGAGCTAATCAATAGGTAACAGCTTAGGGGTTGATGAGGACACATTCTGATACAGCTGAAACTCACCTCTGAGAGAGAACTGTTGGGCCCCTGCACCCATGTGGGAGACCTAGAAGAAGCACTGGGCTCCTGGCTTGGGCTGCTGCGTTGCTGACATTTGGGGAGTAAATCAGCATGTGGAAGATCTCTGTTTCTCCTCTCTCTGTAACTCTGCCTTTCAAGTAAATAAAAATGAAATATTCAAAGGGGAAAAAAAAAAAGAGAGAGAGAGAGAGAGAGAGAGAGAGAGAGAGACCAGGAGAAGCACCTGGCTCCTGGCTTCGGATCAGCGCAGTGCACCAGCCAAAGCGGCCATTGTGGGGTGAACCAATGGAAAAGGAGGACCTTTCTCTCTGTCTCTCTCACTGTCTACTCACTGCCTGTCAAAAAAAAAAAAAAAAAAAAAGTGATGCTCAGAGTCTCAAAGACTGTTTGTCTCTCAGTATCAGATATTACACACACAGTTACAAGGAATCTACCAAGTTGACTCAAACTCTAAATTATTTCCACACTAAGGCAAAAAAAGAAAAAATCCCCTTGGAGCCCGCGCTGTGGCATAGTAGGCTAATCTTCTGCCTGCGGCACCAGCATTTACATGAGTACCAGTCCAGGCTGCTCCTCTTCTGATCCACAGCTCTCTGCTATGGTCTGGGAAAGCATTGGAAGATGGCCGAAGTCCTTGGGCCCCTGCACCCACGTGGGAGACCTGGAAGAAGCTCCTGGCTCCTGGCTTTATATCTGCCCAGCTCTGGCTATTGCAGCCATTTTAGGAGTGAACAAGTGGATCTACCTCTCAAATATTTTTGAAAAAAAAGTTCCCCTTGGTTTATATTTCATTTGCCTGCTTGGTGTATGTACAAGTGAAAATATAATTCTGTCCAATTTTTCATACATTTTTAAATACATTGCGACGAAGTTAGTGCTAGTGATCTCAGAATGCCAGGTGTTTCACATATCGTATTTTTTACCTTTAATTAAATGCAAATTACTTAATATCAATCTAGATGGGTTGGCTATCACATTGGGAATATAAGATTTGAATCATTTTTCTTAGTCAATTTATGTTTGCACACCCAGAGTAACCTTGGCATGCAATGCAATCTATAAAAATGCTCCAGAGGAATGTGTCTGTGAGAAAACTGACTATATTTGTCTATTGTTTTGTTACTTTATGGGGACCAAGAAGTGAGATTAGACTATGCAATAAAACATTAAAAGGTGCTTTTGTAAATTTTAAATAGTTACTGTAAACATGAAAAAGTAACAGCAGAAAACCATTTACATAGTATAATACTTGTAACCAGAAACAAATTTGTAAGGTTTATGTATTTATTTATTTGAAAGGCAGAGTTAGAGAGGCAAAGGCAGAGAGGGAGAGAGAGAGACAGGTCTTCCATATCTGGTTCACTCCCCAAAATGGCCACAACAGTCGGAGCTGGGCCAATCCAAAGCCAGGAGCCAGGAACTTCTTCTGGGTATCCCACACAGGTACAGGACCCAAGCAATATGGACCATCTTCTACTGCTTTCCCAGGCCATAGCAGAGAGCTGGATTGGAGGTGGAGCAGCCGGGACACGAACTGGCACCTATATAGGATGGCAGCACTGCAGGCAGTGGCTTTACTCTGTATGCCACAACACCAGCCCCCAACCAGATAGATTATAAAGTAACAATATCTCTCGGCTGGCGCCGCGGCTCAATAGGCTAATCCTCCGCCTTGCGGCGCCGGCACACCAGGTTCTAGTCCCGGTCGGGGTGCCGGATTCTGTCCCTGTTGCCCCTCTTCCACGCCAGCTTTCTGCTGTGGCCAGGGAGTGCAGTGGAGGATGGCCCAGGTGCTTGGGCCCTGCACCCCATGGGAGACCAGGATAAGTACCTGGCTCCTGGCTTTGGATCAGCGCGGTACGCCGGCCGCAGTGGCCATTGGAGGGTGAACCAACGGCAAAGGAAGACCTTTCTCTCTATCTCTTTCTCTCTCACTGTCCACTCTGCCTGTAAAAAAAAAAAAAAAAAAAAAAAAATTTCTCTTCAACCTCTTCCTCTCACCTGGCTTCTCATGTGGTGCCTGGGGCTTTCAAGTTGCTCCATAGCCTTCTTTTTTTTAATATTTTATTTTATTTAATGAACATATTTTCCAAAGTACAGCTTATGGATTACAATAGCTTCCCCCCCATAACTTCCCTCCCACCCACAACACTCCCCTCTCCCACTCCCTCTCCCCTTCCATTCACATCAAGATTAATTTTCAATTATCTTTATATACAGAAGATCAATTTAGCATATATTAATTAAAGATTTCCAGTTTACACCCACACAGAAACACAAAGTGTAAAATACTATTTGAGTACTAGTTATAGCATTAATTAAACACCTAAGAGTAATTGTGTATTAATTACAGAGTTCAACCAATAGTTTTAAATAGAACATAAAAAATACTAAAAAAGTATTAAGTTCTTTTTTTCCTGTTTTTTTGTTTGTTATATAGTTATTTTTTTATTTAATAAATGTGAATTTACAAAGTGCAACTTGTGTATTGTTGTGGCTTCCCCACCTAACCTCCCTCCCTCCCGTTGCCCTCCCCTCTCCCACTCCCTCTCCCATCCTGCCCTTCATCAAGTTTCATTTTCAATTACCTTCATATACTGAAGATCAACTTAGTATATACTAAGCAAGGATTTCAACAGGCTGCACTCACATAACCGCACAAGGTATAGGGTATTGTTCGACTAGTAGTATTGTTTTTAAGTTCATAGTAAAACACATTAAGGACAGAGATCCTACGTGGGGAGCATGTACCCAGTCACTCCCGTTGTTGATTAACAATTGGCAATCTTATTTATGACATCAGCAATCACCCGAGACTCTTGCTATGAGCTGTCTAGGCTATGGAAGCCCCTTGAGGTCACCGAATCTGAACTTGTTTAGACAAGGCTGTATCACAGTGGAGGTTCCTTCCTCCCTTCAGAGAAAGGCGCCTCTCTCCTTGATGGCCTGTTCCTTCTGCTGGGGTCTTGTTCACCAGGATCTTTCATTTAGATCGTTTTTTGCCACCGTGTCATGGCTTTCCATGCCTGTGAGACTCTCATGGACCTTTTAGCCAGATCCAAATGTCCCAAGGGTTGATTCTGAGGCAGGAGTGCTGCCATTCGCTCCATAGCCTTCTAA